ATGTACACCTGTGTTTAGCCTACATGTACACCTGTGTTTAGCCTACATGTACACCTGTGTTTAGCCTACATGTACACCTGTGTTTAGCCTACATGTACACCTGTGTTTAACCTACATGTACACATGTGTTTAGCCTACATGTACACCTGTGTTTAGCCTACATGTACACCTGTGTTTAGCCTACATGTACACCTGTGTTTAGCCTACATGTACACCTGTGTTTAGCCTACATGTACACCTGTGTTTAGCCTACATGTACACCTGTGTTTAGCCTACATGTACACCTGTGTTTAGCCTACATGTACACCTGTGTTTAGCCTACATGTACACCTGTGTTTAGCCTACATGTACACCTGGGTTTAGCCTACTTGAAAGTGCTCCTGGGTCTCTGGTCCTGCTGGGGTGACGCCTCGTCCAGCCGTGGCTGTTGAGAGGGGGGCGCCAGAAACACTAGATCAGGGAGCCAAAGAGGTGCGCAGATTATAAGTCAATTCAATACATATTTATAACACACATATATTTATAACACATATTTCACAAATAATACTCTAAATTTACGAGATTTCACATGGTAGTGAGCATCCATTAATCTAAAATTAACGTCTAGTTTACTTATATCATTAATCTAATACTGATAAAAACAAGTTAATAAAAAGTCTAGTGACAATTTAAGTGCAATTTCCTTATGTTATCCATAACAATTTTAAATCGAGATAAATCATATATTCAGCAAATAAATAATGCAACACAAGTAGTTTTAATAATTCAAAACAAAAAAGAAAAAATATTTATTAACGAGATTTAAAAAAAATTGCGGATGTATAGGGGGTATTTAGGGGATTTTAGTTGTCGCGCTCTCTATATTGCTCTACAGTACTGTAGTATATTATATATAATGTAATTTTTTAAAAAATTTTGTGACCGAACGAAAGGATATTTTTGAAAACTTTCTTCGGCAATATTGTTCTAAATTATGGCAGGAATCGATTGATAAATGTTTCAAGTCGCTAAGTGGTCTGGTTGCCGAGATATGGGCCAACAACTGCAATTTTTCGAGTTTTTTTGGCTTTTCTGGGAAATCTAGGAAGGAATTCCGGGAATTTTTTGACCCACAATCATCCTCGGAACTTGCTTAACATATTTGCTTTTGGAACTAGTCCTCGATATTGCGTCGTTGAGGAGGAGATACGACTTAAAGCTGCGGTAAAGCTGCGGACACACATCCAGAAATGACGAATTGATAATCGCAATTCCAGTATGGAAATTGCGCTAAAAAACTAAGCCTCGTGTTTCATACTTCCTTCATCAAATCCTACGGCGGCATATCCGGGGATTTTATCCATTTGTTCTAGCGGCGGTACACTTGCATCATGAGTTGCTTTAGTGTTTGACTGGCTAGCACCTTCAGAAATAGAAGAATGTTTTACAGCCCATAGTATGTTTATATATATATATATATATATATATATATATATATATATATATATATATATATATATATATATATATATATATATATATACTCTATATACACATATAATTTTTATAGAGAAATACATTTCAATTATTTCAAATACATGAATCATATATTGAACACTGACCCACCACCCAGTAATCCCTACCATATACTGACCCCTGACCCCCCTCCCCACGTATTGCCCCCCCCCCATATTAAAAGCCGTGTAACGCCTTACCTGCATGTTGCCCTACACTTGGATAGATCGAGCCTTGCACGGCCCCATAGGGTGTCCGGCTAGGACAAAATTAGAATCAAGTGAGGACATTCACAGCACACACATACACACACATACACATACACACTAGAATCATGTGAGGACATTGACAGCACACATAAAGGCATACACATACAGGCACATACACATACAGACACACACACAGGCACATACACACTAGAATCAAGTGAGGACATTCACAGTACACATACACACACATACAGGCACACATACAGGCACATACACATACACACTAGAATCATGTGAGGACATTCACAGCACACATACACACACATACAGGCACACATACATACATACAGATACACATACAGGCACACAAAAATACAGGCACGAACATACACGCACATACACACAGAGTTGACCCGAGTAATTGAAGGCATTCACTTGAAGTGCGTGTTCAGTACGAGTTACTAACATACACATAGAACCGTATTTAAAAATAGAATTACTCTGCCATATGACATCAAAGTGAGTGTGACATCGATGTCATCTTAACTATCCTATCATCCCCCACCTCTTTGAATGTATTCGATCACTTAAGTTAATTGATTTCGCTTCGGTTAAGTTGGAGTGTTTGTGTGTGTGTGCGGGGGGGGGGGGGGGGGGGGGCAGATGGAACGGTAGGGGCGGGGATGAGAACATGGGTATCATGATCGTGTGTGTGTTGGGGGGGGGGCATATGAGACTAGCTCGATTATTTGGTGTTTGTTTTATCCTTATAAGGAGAGGGAGAGATTTTTGGATCTCAACGTTTTTCATAGTGTTAGGGTCGTGTGACAGCTGCTCAATGTGTTTGTCAGTATGTTTGTTTGTGTGTGCACGTGTTTGTATGTGCACGTGTTTGTGTGTGCACGCGTTTGTGTATATGTGTGCGTGTGTTGACAGACAACTCTCCCGTCGTCACAAATGTAGAGCACTCTAACGGTAGCGTTGTTCACTGGACATCAACTCTCCACCCCACCCCCTCGGTCCATTCTTGTGTGACGCCACTGTTCACTTGATATCAACTATCTACTCCACCCCCCCTCCCCACAGATCGGTCCCTGACTCCCCCTGTGTGACGCCACACGACGTACACACCGCGGGGGCTAGCACACCCTAACGTGTCAGACCCAGCTCTAGTTTTGGTTCAACTTGTGGCTGGTCAAGGAACTTAGTGGGGCTCCAACAGTGGGGCTCCAACAGTGGGACTCCAACAGTGGGGCTCCAACAGTGGGGCTCCAACAGTGGGGCTCCAACAGTGGGGCTCCAACAGTGGGGCTCCAACAGTGGGGCTCCAACAGTGGGACTAGGAATGTCAAGGTCAGAATACTCTGACAGTTGTCTGAAGTAAAGACGGGTAGTTGTGATGTAGCCTAGTGCGTACTTTAAGGCTGCTGGTGGTTAGATAGATAGACGAGAGTGTGGCACAATCAGACAAGACAGGTAGAATCAGACAAGACAGGTAGAATCAGACAAGACAGGTAGAATCAGACAAGACAGGTAGAATCAGACGAGACAGGTAGAATCAGACAAGACAGGTAGACAAGACAGGTAGAATCAGACAAGACAGGTAGAATCAGACGAGACAGGTAGAATCAGACAAGACAGGTAGAATCAGGCAAGACAGGTAGAATCAGACAAGACAGGTAGACAAGACAGGTAGAATCAGACAAGACAGGTAGAATCAGACGAGACAGGTAGAATAAGACGAGACAGGTAGAATCAGGCAAGACAGGTAGAATCAGACAAGACAGGTAGACAAGACAGGTAGAATCAGACAAGACAGGTAGAATCAGACGAGACAGGTAGAATCAGACAAGACAGGTAGAATCAGACGAGACAGGTAGAATCAGACAAGACAGGTAGAATCAGACAAGACAGGTAGAATCAGACAAGACAGGTAGACAAGACAGGTAGAATCAGACAAGACAGGTAGAATCAGACGAGACAGGTAGAATCAGACAAGACAGGTAGACAAGACAGGTAGAATCAGACAAGACAGGTAGAATCAGACGAGACAGGTAGAATCAGACAAGACAGGTAGACAAGACAGGTAGAATCAGACAAGACAGGTAGAATCAGACGAGACAGGTAGAATCAGACAAAGACAGGTAGAATCAGACAAGACAGGTAGAATCAGACAAGACAGGTAGAATCAGACAAAGACAGGTAGAATCAGACAAGACAGGTAGAATCAGACGAGACAGGTAGAATCAGACAAGACAGGTAGAATCAGACAAGACAGGTAGACAAGACAGGTAGAATCAGACAAGACAGGTAGAATCAGACGAGACAGGTAGAATCAGACAAGACAGGTAGACAAGACAGGTAGAATCAGACAAGACAGGTAGAATCAGACGAGACAGGTAGAATCAGACAAAGACAGGTAGAATCAGACAAGACAGGTAGAATCAGACGAGACAGGTAGAATCAGACGAGACAGGTAGAATCAGACAAAGACAGGTAGAATCAGACGAGACAGGTAGAATCAGACAAAGACAGGTAGAATCAGACAAGACAGGTAGAATCAGACGAGACAGGTAGAATCAGACAAAGACAGGTAGAATCAGACGAGACAGGTAGAATCAGACGAGACAGGTAGAATCAGACAAAGACAGGTAGAATCAGACGAGACAGGTAGAATCAGACGAGACAGGTAGAATCAGACAAAGACAGGTAGAATCAGACAAGACAGGTAGAATCAGACAAGACAGGTAGAATCAGACGAGACAGGTAGAATCAGACAAGACAGGTAGACAAGACAGGTAGAATCAGACGAGACAGGTAGAATCAGACGAGACAGGTAGAATCAGACAAAGACAGGTAGAATCAGACAAGACAGGTAGAATCAGACGAGACAGGTAGAATCAGACGAGACAGGTAGAATCAGACAAAGACAGGTAGAATCAGACAAGACAGGTAGAATCAGACGAGACAGGTAGAATCAGTCTGCAAGTTGAAACCCAGACAGGTAGGAAAACAAATAAAAAATAATTACCTTCCAGACGCGAAGTTTGTGTTTTCACTCATAGCTCAGTTGTGTCGTGTCGTGTGATGATCAAGTGGGCAGACAACACACCAACACAACACATCAACACAACACATCAACACAACACATTAACACACACAATAGGAAGTTGAATGGAAATATTCCTCAACAGTTCGGGGGTTTCCAGATCTATTTTTAAACAACGTCAATGGTTTTCTTCCCCTAAATGTATTTACTTCCCCTTGAATGAATTCACTTCTTGTGGAGGCTAAAGTTAATTAATGAGAGCCAAAGTGTCGTCAGCTTGCTAGACGGGGTGGGGGTGGGGAGGTGTCAGAGGCCGCGCTGATGGGCTGGCACAAATATGTTGACACATTTTGTTTTCGCTAGCAAGTTGATAGTTTTGTTGACAAGTTGTGTGTTTGTTGAAAAGTTTGTTGACAATTATGTTGAAGTTGATGGAAGTTTGTGCGGGGAATCTTTAGTGTAAAGAGAACGTTAAACAATTAGGCCGATACATTTGAGAACGTTTAACAATTAGGCCGGTACATTTGTGAACGATGTGATTTTTAATGGAAAATGTGATTTAAAAAAATCAAAGTTATGCGTGTGCACTTGAAATTTCCGGGGGGGGGGGGGGGCACTGTTAAAAGTATGTTTTCTATTTAAATTCCATTTCGTTCGGGGAGGGAAGAGGGGGGGGGGGCAGAAGACTTTTTTCAAGGGGGGGGGGGGGTAACATATGTGATAGTGGTACATACATACATACACATATAGGCCTGTATATCTATATCGTTTGTAATCAAAAGCAATGCGGGTTAGAGAAACACTAGAATAGCAGGGATAGGGCGGCTTAATGAAGTAGTTCTCTTGTTAACTACACGTGTAGGCATATGTGTACTGGGGTGAAGGGCTAACTACATACATTTATGGCTAGGGATATACCGTGGGGAGGTGGGGGCACATGGGGGGGGGGCTTGCACACAACATTTGTTCACCTTACAGCAACAGGGAAGACATTAATTAAACAATATTAATTAAACGATATTACTTAAACGATATTAATTAAACGATACTAATTAAATGATATTAATTAAACAATATTAATTAAACAATATTATAACAATAAAAAAATATTCGTTTATTCAATGTAGGTCATTTGGTTTCCATATCAACTTAAAGTTAATTAAAGGCATATGATGGTTGTACGAAATAAATTTACCACAAACATTGATTGTATGAAATATCTTTACCACAAATATATAATGGTTGTATGAAATAACTTTATCACAAACATTAATTGTATGAAATATCTTTACCATTATTGTGAACAATGTAGGCTTACAATGTTGAGTTGGTAGAATATGTGAATGTGTTTGATGTGATGTGTGTTTGATGTGAATTATTGCATAGTTCCAAACCGCAGCGTCTAGCTGGTCACGTGACGACTGGACCAACGCCAGCTACAAGACACTACAACAGCAACACTTGACCACTGGACCAACGCCGGCTACAAGACACTACAACAGCAACACTTGACCACTGGACCAACGCCAGCTACAGGACACTACAACAGCAACACTTGACCACTGGACCAACGCCAGCTACAAGACACTACAACAGCAACACTTGACCACTGGACCAACGCCAGCTACAAGACACTACAACAGCAACACTTGACCACTGGACCAACGCCAGTTACAAGACACTACAACAGCAACACTTGACCACTGGACCAACGCCAGCTACAAGACACTACAGCAGCAACACTTGACCACTGGACCAACGGCAGCTACAGGACACTACAACAGCAACACTTGACCACTGGACCAACGCCAACTACAAGACACTACAACAGCAACACTTGACCACTGGCCCAACGCCAGCTACAAGACACTACAACAGCAACACTTGACCACTGGACCAACGCCAGCTACAAGACACTACAACAGCAACACTTGACCACTGGCCCAACGCCAGCTACAAGACACTACAACAGCAACACTTGACCACTGGACCAACGCCAGCTACAGGACACTACAACAGCAACACTTGGCGGGGTAGTCAGGGGCGTAGACCTTGTGCTCGAAGCCGTACACGAAGTAGGAGTCAGCCTTGTCCTTGTAGCTGTAGGACACCTGCGTCACTGGGATGACGCGCACACGGTGTCTCTGTGGAAACATCGGTGGCAGGCCTGTCACAGGTGTCATGGCAGGCCTGTCACAGGTGTCATGGCAGACCAGTGACAGGTGTCATGGCAGACCAGTGACAACTTTCAACAACCGCATGGTTAAAGATGCTTAACGATTAAATCCATTAGATTAAAATTTAGAAACATTTAGATGGCATCAGTATGCACCAGATTATTACGTGATGGCATCATTAAGCTGCTGACTCTACAGACCCCTGTCACGTGATGTTACCTGGTCAGTCACGTGATGTTACGTGATCTGTCACGTGATGTGTTACCTGCATCAAAATCCGCTCCCCCCCAAAGCTTGAGCAATGTCTGCTGACCAGCGTGTTGGACGCGGCGTTGATCTCCTGCTCGGGGAAGTGGTTGACTGGCCACACCTAGGGCATCAGATCAACATGAGATCAACATTAGACCAACATCAGATCAACATTAGATCAACATCAGATCAACATCAGATCAACATCAGATCAACATTAGATCAACATGAGATCAAAATTAAATCAACATTAGATCAACAAAAGATCAGTATTTGATCAACATAAGATTAATACTAGATCATTATTCTATCGACATTAGATCAACTTCAGATCAACATTACATCAAAATTACATTAAAATTACATCAATATTAGATCCTACCAACCGACTTCTGGTTGGTAGAGTTAATATTTTATTAAATACTAGCGTGCCCGTCCCCGCGCGCGGAGTTAGAGGAAAGTCCAATGACAGTCGGGGGCAAATGCACCCTACCGGGGCGTCGGCGGACGCGCCTGACTCAATTTAGTGAACGACCAAAACGCCCCATCTTATCCTTAGCCTATCGCACTATTTAAAACAAACGTAGGCGCCATAGAGGTCACGGGGATAGCCCGGGGTGTCAAATCGCACCGCGTAGAGACGCCGGAGGACGCGCCTGATTTGGTAAAGCCAACGATTTAGTGTAAAGCCTTTTTTTTTGTTATAAACTAACGTAGGTGCCATAGTGCTCGCATGGGAGCTGGGGCGCTTCGGGTCGCACAATCTAAAGGGCGTCTGCGGTTGCGCCTGTTGCAGTCTTAACGCTGAATATAGCAGTACCCCTTACCCACTATGCAGGACGCCCAATTAACGTATGCCAAGTGCTAATATAGTTGCTCTGGAACTCTTGGCGCCAAACCATGTATTGACGAAAATCGCGCCGCCCATTAGAAATTTTAATTTTTTTCGCAGAAATCTTCTCGGGAGTATTCTCATCTTCTCGTTTCATGGCACCATATATAAAGAAAATTCGCAACCTCCCGGGGCGCCGCCCTGGCGAAATTTAAAAAAAAAGTTTTTGCAGAAACCTCCCCTGGAGTTTCTAATCAACAAAGTTTCATGCCGATCAGTTGTGACTGCAATCGACTTTTGTTTTTATATACCGTATATAGAGAAAAATCGAATCGCGCCCTGACGAGGTGCCACCCCTGCGAATTAAACGTTTTTTTCGAAGATACCTCCCCAGGAGTATTCTCAACAACTTCGCAAAAGTACGCTCGATGATGTTGTCGTCAAGATGGTTCGTCCTGAAACATCAGGGTCAAAGATCAAGTTCAAGGTTACATTGTATGTTATTTTGTCTCTAATCCTAACGACTAGTCCACTGGTCTAAAGCTAGTCACGTGATGAGCACAAGTTACCACTTGATGGTCAGCTGGATGAACCAGCGCAGGTTGGCGCGACCTTGACACGTCCTGCAGACCAGCTGACCTGACCCAGAGCAGACGAAACATCTAAAATAGAAACGGGTGTGGTAACTTTAAGATGGTGTAAAACTAGTTACATTTTAGTTGACACCACACTTACACACGCACACACACATTACACAATGACACCATCACATAGACACACTAGCACACATAAATAACCGAACAGAGCCCCATAATATCCCCACACACCACGACCACATGCCCCACCCCCACTACTCACATGCCCTACCCCACCCCACCCCCACTACTCACATGCCCCACCCCCCTACTCACGAATCCCACCCCAACCCCCCACTACTCACATGCCCCACCCCCACTACTCACATGCCCCACTCCAACCCCCGCTACTCATATGCCCCACCCCATTCCCCACTACTCACATGCCCCACCCCACTACTCACCTGCCCCACCCCATCCCCCACTACTCACATGCCCCACCCCCACTACTCACATGCCCCACCCCACTACTCACCTGCCCCACCCCATCCCCCACTACTCACATGCCCCACCCCCACTACTCACATGCCCCACTCCAACCCCCGCTACTCATATGCCCCACCCCATTCCCCACTACTCACATGCCCCACCCCACTACTCACCTGCCCCACCCCATCCCCCACTACTCACATGCCCCACCCCACTACTCACATGCCCCACTCCAACCCCCGCTACTAATATGCCCCACCCCATCCCCCACTACTCACATGCCCCACCCCACTACTCACATGCCCCACCCCACCCCCCACTACTCACAAGCCCACCCCCACTACTCAGAGGCCCCACCCCCACTACTCACATGCCCCACCCCACTACTTACATGCCCCCCTCACTACTTACATGCCCACCCCACCCCCCACTACTCACATGCCCACCCCCACTACTCACATGCCTCACCCCATCCCCCACTACTGACATGCCCCACCCCCACTTCTCACATGCCCCACCCCCACTATTCACATGCCGCACCCCCACTACTCCCATGCACCCCCACCCCACCCCCCACTACTCACATGCCCCACCCCACCCCCACTACTCACGTGCCCCACCCTACCCCCACTACTCACATGCCCCGCCCCACCCCCTATTACTCACATGCCCCACCCACATTATTCACATGCCCCACCCCCACTACTCACATGCCCCACCCCCCCCTACTCACATGCCCCACCCCCCCCTACTCACACGCCCCAACCTCATTACTCACATGCCCCACCCTCACTACTCACGTGCCCCACCCCCACCTCACCTCCACCTCCCTACTCACATGCCCCACCCCCCGTATTCACATGCCCCACCCCCAACCCCACTACTCACATGCCCCACCCTCACTACTCACATGCCCCACCCCCCCC